GGTTAGGATTAGAGTTAAATCCAGGAGTATAATAAGGTCAATAGCTAGGATTTCCTTGGTTGTTCAAATTTCCGGAGGAATTTACCGAATTTTTATAATTATTCCAACTAAAATTATGGTGATTTTTCCATCCAAGATTATAAAAGTTAGAATAGGTATTGTTATTTTAATTATTTAGAGCATTTAAATTTTCATAAGATGATTGAGTATCAATGATTTATCCTAGTGAATTTTCCTCTAAATTTGATAATAGTTCACTCCTATTTGATTAATTTTTTTCTAAACAACAGCAAATTGCGATGCTAAAATAGACATTGCATCAGAATCATGAATACTAGCTACTCTCTTAGGATTTACCCTTTTGGAGGGTCATTGAAAATTGTTTGTAGCCATCTCTTCAATTTATGAATATGCTTCATCAAAAGGTTTTGACATTAGTGATCCACCCGCAGCAGCATCTATAATAGATCTAAGTGATCCTATTAATCTATAATAAAATGTTTGAATTATTAATCAATCTGGTAGAGCATGGTGTAGAGATTTTCTAAGAAGATCTTTAAATCTTTCCCAAGCTTCATATATCGATTCCCCTTCAAATTGACAAAAAGATGTAATGTTGTTTCTAAGTTTAGCAGTTTTCAAGGGTGGAAAATATTTAGCTAAAAAGTTTTGTGATAGTTCTCTCCAAGTTCTAATAGATCTAGGTGTTAATCAATTTAACCAAGCCTTGGCTTTATCCCTTAATAAAAAAAGGAAAAATTCTAAGCCTAACAACATCATTAGACACTCTGTCATATTTAAAAGTAGCATAAATTTTGAGAAAATTAACAAGATATAAGTTTGGATCTTCAATAGGTGTTCCTCCAAACTGATTATTTTGTACGATTTGGATAATAGCAGGTTTAAGCTCAAATGAATTAGCTGAAACATCAGGATTTTGAATAGTCAGGTGAAGTTCATCTGTTGTTGGATTAGCATAATCGTTTAATGGTCTTTGTTGATTTTTGTTTATTTGATTATTTAAATTATGTGCCATTTCATTTAAATTTTTAATTTCTTTTGTTGTTCTTGAATTTTTCTAATAGTATGCTCTAATTCTGAATCGTAAGGCACTAAACCTTTAGATCCAATATTTCACATAAATAAATATAATAAGCAAAGAAAAATTTCTTAAAAATAACTCTTGAATAAAAATATATTTTCTTTTTGGATTTTTGAATTTTTTTTATTTTTTATATAATTATCTCTAAATTTCCTAATTTAGTAAATCTACTTAATTTACCGTTACCTTCCTCGGCAACCGCGCCAAAAACTTGATCCCACGATAATATAGTTGTGTAAAAATTGTATAGTTGACTCCGCTATGCAATAGTGCAAATGGCTTGATGCAATATTTTATGACAATGTATAAGATTACATGGACACTAACAAGGATAGAGGAGGACCAGTTTTTGTAGTAGACAACTTAGATGAAATGATCTATTTAAGCCCCAAATATCAATCCTATGGGAAATGTTTAATAAATTTACTAGAAATTTACTAGAAAATTCATAGAAAGTCAATACGAAATTACTGTCACTAATTTCGAATGTTGAGATATTATTAGAACTAAATAACAAAACTGAAATACAAAGTTTAAACAGAAACTACAAATCTATTAACTATTAAATTATGTTTATGTGATGAAAAATTCTTATGTGAAAAAGCATCTTTCCCACTACAATGAGGTTATGGTAAGATGAGATGAGATAAATGAAGATGAGATGAGATAAATGGCAGATAAATGGCTCAATTATGTATTGTGCCAAATAGGAGCAGTTTTAATTCTCTACCTTGATATAGTGTTATAGAAATGTGTTATAGAAAATCATTGGCTAATCCCATGTTTAGTCCCTAAATCCATGGCTAGGGTAAGAGGATATTGACTCCCACTCCATAGCTCCCACTTTCCTTTCACCTGAAGGCTAACTCTCGCTTTAGTTTTTAAACACTAAGACCAAATTAGGGATTTTAATCTGTCACTCAAAAGGTTCTCCAATTCCACACCCAACAAAGTATATTTTCCTATTTATTTGCACTTAATTCCATCAACAAAGTTCTCCTTCATGGAATCAAATGTGATCCTCATTCTGTTGAAGAACTCATACTCGATTTCCCGGATCATATGTTTCACAACATATTTTAACAATTCAATTGGCCAGATCAAAAAGTAAATTAAGTTTGGAGTTGAAAAATCATCACAATTTATTTTATATTTTAATATTGACACATGCATATTATCTCTTTATTTCACCATATCTCAGAGTAGGAAGAAAGATAAAGTAAACTACTCAGACTTCATGAGAAATATTCAACAAAACATAAATTTGATATATAAAAGAAAGTTCATACAACACTAATAAACAAACAACACTTATCTGAAACTCTTTCTCAAAGAAAATAACTTGTAGCCTCTTCTAGAAAATGAAGGAAGAAGAAATCTCTTACTTTTTCTCCTTCTCCAACACTATTTGAGAAATCACACTTAATCTCTCCACAAAACTCTAAATTATAAGAACAATGGACTCTAAATGATTGTGGAGTGAAAAATGGAAGAATGTGTGATTATAGAAGGTTGAATAGAGGGGATGAAATGGCAGAAAGAGTCTCCTTTTTGATCAATTTTGGCCCCAAATAAAGCCTAAAGTGGTTCTTCAATAGGTGCCTCAAAAAACTGCTCAAAATGTGTCCAGATTCGTCGAATCTTCTAAAAATCGGGCTGAACGACATTGGCGCCATCGGCGCCAGTGTCCTGTAACTAAATTCGCCCTCTCTGTCAAACGGTGTCGTCGGCGCTGCTTCTGGCGCCATTGGCGTTGAACAAACTTCAACTTCTTCATTTTTGCTCCAAATTTCACCATTTTTGCTTTAAATCCTAAAATTCAATAACCTGCAAGAAACCATAAAAATACCTTCGATTAAAGTGCAATATCACAAAAAATGAGTATAAAATATGGGTCTAAAAATGCATATATTTTAGGTGTATCATACAATAGAGGGAAAACATAATTTTTGGAATCATTGACAAAGGAGATGCTGCGTTGAGCAACCACCTCTGCAAAAGACAACTTATCTCCACCGACTTCGGTTATAGCAAGGGCAAAACACCAGCACACCACCAACTAAGGGAGCCCGAGCCATTTCACTCCAAGCCCTAGCATTGCAAACGGAGCCATCATTTTCGTTTTTTAATTTTTTGTTATATATAAGTTCATTCCATTTGTCAATTTAAAGCCAATTTAAAATTTGAATATAATTAGGTTTGTTTTTCCCCTCCTTCCTCCATAACAACTAAATTTTGTTAGTAATATTATCAAAGAAATTAAACCTCTCCAATTTCCTTAGAATGTGTTTTTATGAGTAGTTGCAAGGGCTTCCAAAATAGCAAAACAGGATAACTTGCGGATTCTTCTAAGATTTACGAGTTTATTAAGGGAAGATGGATCCACTATTCCCTTGATATTCTAATCATCATGAGTTGACTTACCCTTCCTAGTAGTCCTAGGAAGGGTAGCATCTCATGCTAGATCGAGATAGTAATTGTTTGAGATTATATTTTGAGCCTTTAGATTACACAGTTCCTCATTCCCTTTCCTTTTACCTATAGTCCTTTGAACTATCCATTCTTCTTCAAATTTTTGTCATGTTGAATTTAAATCACAGTCCCCCTTCCAACTGAGTTTGAGTAAGAATATTCACCTAGTAGCTTCAAGCCACCAAAAGCTTTCTGAATCATTTCCATCTTAGGGTGGCCATAAAATATTTTTTCTAATAAAGTGAATTTGCAAGGAAGAAACAAAGCAGAGGTGTCACTGTCAAAGAGGAATAAAGTCAGTTTATCGCATTTCTTACATGATTTCCTTACGAAAAGTTGAGCTCCATTAACATCTAAAGTGTCCTGATACGACCGAGGGAAAACGTAGTTTTTGGAATCAATGACAAGGGAGATGCTGCGTTGAGCAACCACCTCCGCAAAAGACAACTTATCTCCGCGAACTCCGGTTATGGCAAGGCCAGAACACCAGCACACCACCAATCAAGGGAGCCAAAGCCATTTCACTCCAAGCCCTAGCATAGCAAATGGAGCCATCATTTTGGTTTTTTAATTTTTTCTATATATTATTTAAAAAAATTCATTCCATTTGTTAATTTAAAACCAACTTAAAATTCGAATATAATTAGGTTCGTTTTTCCCTCGTTGGTCCGTTCCAAAAATGTTAAAACTGTCCCTTCACTAATCCTAAAACAAATTCCATCGTGAATCTGAGCTGGATCGTGCGTCCTTCCTTTTCAGCACTCATTGAAATTTGAAGTAAAATTGTAAAATTACATTACATTTCAACAAATTATGGGAAAAAACTAGTGGACTTCGACGACAATCATAAATCCGTTCACTTCCCCATTAGCTATAAACCACACATCGTGTCGCCACGAATAACTAATTTTCAGATAATTTTCGCTAATTAATTTTCTTAATTTGGAAATTTCTCTTAGAGCAGAGTGTTTTCCCGATGAGCCCGTAATGAGAGATTTAATTTTTATTTTGCAGGGAACGGGTAAATGAAATTCACGAATTTGCTATGAAAATAAATAGGGACATGCTCACGCATTTTAGATTCTTTCTTCCATTTGAGTTGAATTTTATTAGAATGTTATCTTATCGGATGAGTAAGGTCAATATTTTCAATATAGAATTCCTTAAATCTATGACCCCATAAAAAAAAAGTTTCTTTTTTGCCAAACATAGCTCTATGATCAAAAATAAGAAATTTAAATACCAAATAATTAATAAAAATTTATTTTTTATATTTTCTCAAAAATATTTTTTAAAAGTTATTCTAAAATAAAGTCATCTTAAGAAATAAATTTAATTAAAACATAACATCAAAATAGCAAAAGTCATTGGAACGAAAAAAAGTTGGACACCGTGGTTGAATTCATCTCCCCTCTATAAGATCACCCTCACGGTACTTTTCCTCCACCCCTCTACCACTATCGCTCTGTCCGCTCGGGCGTCCCTTTTTCATCCTTATCGTCTCTCCTAAGCGAGGCAGCAAAGGTTCCTCTCTCTCTCTCTCTCTCTCTCTCTCTCTCTCTCTCTCTCTCTCTCTCTCTCTCTCTCTCTCTCTCTCTCTCTCTCTCTCTCTCTCTCTCTCTCTCTCTCTCTCTCACAAAACACGCAGTTTTTGATTTTGAGTTGCTTCACTTGAATCTCTGCTACCTTCCTCCGAAAAAAACACTTAAAGCTCTCCGTTTCCTAGCTTTTTATATGATTAAAATCCCTCTTTTTTTTCATTTCAGTTGCTCTGACTGCAGATCCGAAGGAGTTCATCGAGTATGAACCACTACGCCGTGCAGATGAACACTTTGGCTGCCTCCCGAGATTATCTCGCCGCCGGTGACCGTAAATCACCTGTTCTCTGCCCAAAACCTCGCCGGCTCAGCCCTCTACTAGCCTCTGAGGTCGCTCGTCCCATACGGTGGCAAAGCAGGTTTTTTTTTTACAACTTTTTCCGATCTCCTTCTTCTAGATCCGGACTTTAAACTCAAAAATCTGATCTTTTTTCTACTTCTTTCCCAGCCATCAAGCGGAGCCCTGCAGTTCTAAGCCTGGTCTCGATTTCCTCGATTACTTTCTCCCAAAGGTATGTATGTTCTTAATGATCGCAAATTCTAAAAAAAAATTGTTTTTTTTTTATTTTCTTTCCTGATCAAGATCGTGAAAAGGATCAATATTTACTCAGATTATGTTTATTTTCTTAGGGAGGGGAATCTTTATCGATGTCACCTCCGTTCTTCTGCGGCTCTCCGCCAAGCAGGGCGGGGAATCCTGTGGTAGACGCCAGGTTTGGTGAAAATCGAACAGTAGGCCCGCATCCCTCACCCTTGCCGGCGTTATCTAGCGGCTCCGCCACCGCGTCACCGATGTCGCCACGCAGCTCCGGTAACTGTGCTCGAACAAATATTGGCTTGAAGCCAGCGGCTGTAAGGATCGAGGGCTTCGACTGCCTTGATGGAGGCCGCCGCCGTGGATGCGGAATCACTGCCGTTGCGTAAAAATTTAGCCGGCGTTTTAATCGCTCCGGCGATCTTTTTACTTTGATAGAAGTAGAAGGATAGAAAGTAAGAATAAATTGGTGAAGGGCTTTGGGTGAGGATGAAATGTTTTCCTTGTTGTACAATGATTAAAATCGCTGGGGCTCTGATCTCCGTTCTCCTCTAACCTGTAATTTTGTTTGTAGATATGAATAAGATGGAGGAGGAAAAGTTTTTTTTAAACGGGTGAGTTATTTTTGTTTTGGTTGTAAGGCAACGAGATGAGTCCTTTTTTTTTTGTGAAGATATAATTTTCAAAATATCTGGTTTAGGGCTCTGAAAATTCGAAATGGTAGATCTTTCATGTAAATAAAAAAAGGTTTTTTCCGTAGCTTATCTAATGCCAGATGTAACCCTTTTTCATATTTCATTTTTTTTTTTTCTTTGAACTTGTGGATCTGGATGAAGTATGTCAAATCGGATGTGCGCGCATGTATTCCATTTTTTCAAATTCGGAGTGGTTTAAAGTTGTTTCGAGAAAATATATTGATTTGAAAGTTCAAAAAAATCACTTAAATGTATTTGATTTGTAAATGGCAATGCTCTATTATGTAATTATTTCATTTTAATTTTGTAAATAAGGGTAGTTGGAGACTTGCATTCAAATTTGTTGAAAATATCCATGCTCTCGATTAACTTGAACTTTACAGTATTTTTATTAATTTTTTTAAACACTGTAAAGTTCGTTATGGATATTAGGATTTTAAGAAATTTAATCTATTATGAAATTTAGTTGGCGATTCATAAAAACTAATTATGGTGATTTACTGAAAGGGGTGAATTTATGTTTCGCAAGGTTTTGAGAACCTGGACATCAAATTAGAAGAATTAAAGTTTTAAAATTTATTAGTTCAACTTGAATTTAAGAGGGGGCTGAAATAGATATAAATATTAGATACAGTTTGGGGAAAAATTATCTCATACGGACAGCGTATGAGGAGATGCATATGCCGTCCTATCTTCATCGTTGATCGAAGTTTTTATTAATTTCTTAGTTAAAAAAATTGGGCTCACTGAAATACTACTTTGGCCTGATCAATGGTGGAGATCGGACGGTGCTTGCATTTCTGCATATGCCGTCCGTATGGAATAATTTTTCCAATTTGGGGTGGCTCTTTACCTGTGGTGCGGCTGCACACCACTACGGCGTTTTGTAGTACGGAAATGACTTTGAATAATTTCTATAAAATGTGGGTTGTAGGCTCGATTTTGTGGCTTGCGTTTCTTCTCAATTATTTACCCCGCTACCATTTCGTCCAGCATACCACTCGCTCGACTCTACTACCCCTTCATCTCCTCTCTCTCTCTCTTCATTCTTGCCCTAAAATTCTTCTCTTGATCCCCTTGGATCTGTGGCTCAGATAGGTAGACTTTGGTTTCATTTGAATATGTTAGGTGTCGGTGGTTGTTAGTGAGCTTGCCATTCTTACTCTCCCTCTCCTCTCTGTTCTTGGTTGGATTTGGATCATTTCCTCTCCGCTCTCTTTCCAGAAGTCTCTCTCTCTCTCTGCTCCCATCTGTTGTGGTATTCTCTACCTTATCTATGTGGGGGCATTTTGATTTTGTAAATAATTATGTGTTATGATTTTCCTGAGTTCCCTGCCCTCTTATCGTTAGATGGGTTTTGGTTGATGTTGGAGTTTCTCTATGCTATACTTGATTGATAATTTGGGTTCTTTTTGCTACATTCGGTTGATGGATTTGATTTTTTCTTGCTCTATTCGGTTGATGCCCAAATTTTGGTGGTGATGGTGATTGCATGAGGAATTTGTAGGTGTTGGATGGTTGTGTGACATGGTGGTAATTGAAAATGCAAATAGGAGAGTTGTGTGATGGTAATTGGAAATGCAAATTGGTAATTGGATGGTCGTGTGGTGTGGTGTGGTGTGGTGTGGTGTGGTGGTGGTTTTTCCTTGCTCTATTTGGTTGATGCATGAAATATGGTGGTGGTTGTAATTGGACATGCAAATGGCATGTGGAGGTGGTGGCGTAAGAGAGTTGTTTGGTGTGGATGTGGTGTGGAGAAGGTGGTGTGTGGGTATGTTGCTATAGTGTGGAGGTGGTGGTGTAGGAAAGTGGAGATGGTGATGTAGGGTGGTTGTGCGATGAGGAGGTGGTGATGTGTAGATGTATTGGGTGATTGTGAGGTGTGTAGGTGTCAGGTGGATGTGTTTGGTGTGTTGTGTGGAGGTGGTGATGTGTGGATGTGTTGTGTTGTGTGGTATGGATGTGTTGGGTGTCGGTGTGGCGGTTTCGGGTGTTGTGTGGTGTGGAGATTGTGGTGTGTGGTTGTGTTGGTGTGGTGTGGAGGAGGTGGTGATGGAGAGTTGTGTGGTGTAGGGTGGTTGTGAGATGAGGAGATGGTGGTGTGTGGATGTGTTGGGTGGTTATGAGGAGTGGAGGTGTTGGTTGGGTGTGTTGGGTGTATTGTGTGGAGGTGGTGGTGTTTGGATGTGTTGGGTGTGTTATGTGATGTGGATGTGTTGGTGTGGTGTGGAGGTGGTGGTGTAGGAGAGTTATGTGGTGTGGAGGTGGTGATGTGGTGGTATAAAGTGGTTGTGTGATGAGTAGGTGGTGGTGTGTGGTGTTGAGGTAGTGTTATGGTTTTTAGATGTGTTGGTGTGTGATGTGATGGTGGTGTGGTGTGTGGATGTGCTCGTGTGGAAGTGTTGGTGTCTTGATTTGTCTGTGCGTGGAGGTGTTGGTATGAAGCTTGTGGTGATGATATTGTGACAATTTGATTTTTTTTTAATATGTGATATTGTGGATTTCATATTTTTGCTAATTATTTGATGCTTATGTGTTAGCCACTTCGATATGTAAAATTCAAATACATTGGAATAGATCCTGAGTTGGAAGAGAAGTTGAATCGTAGGTTTTGGGTTGTCGTGACAAAGAGCAAAAATGCATGTGCCCCCAATGAGACAGGATTTGGTGGCATCCCCAAAAATTTGGGAGCGGACCAAATGGTTGATTCCACTGATGGTCTCAGCTCGGACCTCCATGAACTTGAGTCCATGAGTTGTTCTAAATCCACAGGTTGAAAATAAAAAGAAAATTGGAGCTCCTTTTCTTAGAAGCTAGATATCTCAGCTGGTGGCTTCATGCAGCACTAAACCCAACACATCTCAAGCAACTTATGTCCAGGTGGTTCTGGAAATTTTGAATACAACTCTAGAATTTTTTGACGACTTGCCACTATATTTGTTTTCACTGAAGTTGCTTGAAGATTTGACTCGAAAAGATTTTTTCATCGAGATACCCAGTGGTGTACCTACGATATTTTTATAAATGTAGGAACATTTGAGAGGCTATTTTTATTTATAATTGCATAGAACATTTATATTTGTTTTTTATTTTTTATTTTACTTTGGATACTTAAACTGCTTAGGACATGTTTTATATGCTTATTCAATGATACTTATGTGTTCATTTTCTTCGTAAGCTTATATGATTGTAGTTAATTCATTAACGCTTATGTGTTAGCCACTTCGATACCGAAATATATGAAAAAAATCAAAGGAAGGCACATAAGTAGAGTTGCAATTATCGTATGCTTGATGTACGAATATTATAACTCGTACATAGAGCACTCCCTTTGCATGACAACCTCATATGCTGACGACATAGGTGTCATGGAGTTGCTTGCGGGCCACTCAATCAGATTTAGCAATATTTTCCACATGAAATAGGCGGTATTCACTGATCTATAGGGAGAGCTTCATAGAAAACATGAACTTTATGGCTCATCCAGGTCGACATTGCGAGAGGTGTTGGGGATAACTCTCTGTATATTATCACAGAATGAATCAATGCGAGGAGCAATGGAGCGAATTCAACAATCCTTAGAAATAATTTTTAGATACTTCTCAGTAAGGTTGAATGCATTTATAAGTTTTTCTTTACAAGCCATAAAAACAACAGATCCTAGGTTCGAACGAAACCCACAGAGATTTTACACAATGTGCGGTACATGTTATGCTTTAAGTTAATTTCTCTAATTTATTACATTCAATTTTCAAATAAATATCGTAATCACGTAAACCTTCATTATCTTTATAGAATTGTATTAGAGAAATCGATGAAACACACGTTGATACATGTGTTCCAAATAATGAGAAGATCGCATTCATCAGTCATTATGGATCCCTGACGCAGAATGTCATGGTGGTATACGACTTCAACATGTGTTTAACCTTTGTCAAGGACAGTTGGGAAGGTAGTGCACATGGGTCAACTTTTCAAATTTGTAACACGAAATATCAAGTACAATATTCTCAATCCACCTACAGGTACGCTTGAGATTGAGCTACTCTCCTAATTCATTTTTCCCGCAATATGAATCATGAAATTCACATCAGGTTAATACTATTTGGTTGATGCTAGATATTCTTTGTAGTGAGGGTATCTCAAGCCCTATCCTGATACAAGATACCACATACCAGACTTTGAGCGAGCCAGAAATGTCATGCGTGGAAGAAAAAAATGTCAAATAAAAGATATTACTCCATACGTGGTGTCATTGAGAAGACTTTTGGTGTTTGGAATAAGAAATAAGTTATACTTTGCCCGTTTTACCCGTTCCTAATTAGGTGCAAATTGTGATTGCCACGATGACCTAACAAATTACATTTGACGACATCCTTCTTGCAACGTCATCAACTTCTGTAGGGCAAACGAGGGTCATGAGCATGTCCCTATCGATGCATTTGAGTAATGACTTGGACATTCTTTATCACAGGCTGAAAATGATGTTCCCGAACCTTTACTAAGATGGGAAGGTGCAAGTGAGATGACAAAGTTGAGGGAACAAATTATGAATAAGATAATAGAAGGGTGATTTGAGTGTTCATTATAATATTAATTGTAATGGTTGTTGAAGAGATACACTATTTATTATATTTGTATTTTTTATAGTTAATGTTTATTTCCATTTCTTCTATATTTGATATTAATTTTTTGGGTTTCTTACACTGTTTGTAAGTGTTTCTTTTAGGGTTCAAATATACGCCATAATATTTATGTTAGATGCTTAAGGTGTCAACATTTTATGTTAATTATAGGTAATAATCTTGTTGGAGATGGAGGGCATTGAGAGTAAATTTTATAGCAAACATTAGTTTTTTGTGTATGGTGGTGGAAAATGTTTGGGTTGTTGCAAATGGATGATAGCTTTGTTT